TAGTTAAGAAACAAACATTAGGTAAAGTGCATTACATCATCAGCTAAGGGAAATTAGGTTTATTGCTCATTATTGCCCCAGCAATGTTAACTAGGAAATAAAATTGGAATAGCACTTTAACATTTTTTATTGCAATGTTTCTGCATTTTACAATTCATCATTTTTCTTTTAGTTAATGTCTAGCTTCAAAATTCTATGACCTATAGTAAAATGGCTTTTATTTAGCTATATTAAAATGTTTATTTTTCTTTAAGATAGGTTTTTTCCATTTAGACAAATGATTGATTTTGTTTGTTCTTATGCTCTTTTATAATATGCATTATATTCTGACTTGAATTACAGTGATTTGTATATTTAGCATACCTTTCCTTCTCACACTATTGACTATCACGTAAGAGTGGAACCCATGTTTTATTCATCTTTACAGTTTTGGGCTAACACAAGACCTTTAATGTATTAAGCACCCAATAAGCATTTACTGATTTACAATTTTTTCTTTAGTATTCTACTCTGAGAGGGTTTAGAAAGAACTATTTTGGGTATGATATGTGAGATCTGAGAAATTTAAAAATACTTATGGAAGTGAAAATGCACTGATTGTTTGAAGTACAGAAATTCCAACTGGAACAGAATTCAATAATTTTCTCATTGTTCTTGCTGGTTAAAGACAAAATAAAATAATATATATGCATACATATAATATATATTTGTATATATATGTGGAGAGAATGCAAAATGTATTAAAATTTAAAATATCAAGTTTATGTATATAGGTACTTACACATACCAAGAGTATAACCAAGCTTGAATATGACATCCATATTATCCATTAATATTAATCACAAGAAAGTCTGTATTTTTACTCCACTGACGGCTGATGCTTTGAAAAAATTTGATGCTAACCTCTTAAAAGGTTAAGACTAGTTTCATTAAAAAAGGGGTGGGGGAATTAGTGAGTGTGAAACTATTGCTATATTGTGTAAACATATGCATTTAATTTGAAAATATAATTGGAATAAATCTACTATTCTAAAGCTAGGTAATAATATTCTAACAAGAAAGCCTGATTAAATGTTATAAAAAGATTTCAAACTATTTTTCATCTTAGGCTTGGTACTTTAAATTTTTATATCCAACTATTTATGTAAACTGACATTTTCAGTAATATAGATGATGTAAAACTGAGTTGTTTTTAGAGTAGCTTAATTTGAACACTGCATATGTAATGGGAAATATTCTAACTTGATTATTCAATAGAGATGAAACCATATGACTAAAAAACACTTCATGTTGATTAAAAACATATTAGTCAAAATGAGTATAGGAAGACACAACATCCAAGACTGACCCACTTAAAAGAAATAGTGAAACAAAATTAACCACTTCCCTAAAACAAAAGGTATCCAGCTGAATTTAATACTCCAATCTTGCTAAATGTGATACATAAAGGGAAAAATAATTTTGGTTGGAGTTTTAAGATGTGAGCAGAGGTGTAGTGTGAGAAATGGTTAAACATTTAATAAGAATTTTATATGTTACAGAGAAGACTTTTTACTTAGTTCATCGGGCAACACAAGGCACTCAAGATATCTGAGCAGAATGCCAGGATCACAGCTTTAGTTTAAAGAAATTAATATCATGACAATTAATGAAATAAGTGATACCGGATTGGATCTTGAACAACAACAACAAAAAAAGTGAGACAATTGGCAAATTTGAATAAGGTCTCTAGATTATAGTATTTTATCAATGTTAATTTCTTGATATGGATACCTAGGACTACCGTAGTTATGAAGGGATGTCCTTGTTTAGAAAACGTAACTCAAGTGTGTAGAGGTAAAGGGACATTATGGCTGCAACTTTATTTTAAATGTTTCCAAAAAAATGTCTCCTGCACACACACACACAAACATACACACAGTAGGGGGAGAAAAATAAAGCAAGTATGATAAAATATTAACATTTGGAGAAGCTGAGTAATGGTACACAGGAGTGCTTTGTAATATTTTTTAAAATCTGAAACAATGTCAAAAAAGTTTTTAAAAAAGAAAAGTAATATGTCAACAACATAAAATAGGTTAAGAGATGACTAGCTGTGAGAGCTTGGACATATCATGGTGAAAATCTACATTAGTAACCTTTTGGAGGGAAATTTGGGAGAAGCTACCAGAATTTAAAATGCATACATCTTTCAACTCAGCAACTCTTCTTCTGGCATCTGCCTCATGGAAATAGACACATATGAGCACAAAGATATTTATTGCAATACTATTTTATAACAGAAAAGAAAAACAATCAAAATTTCTGCTTAAAACAGAAGCTAAATTCAGGCACATTCATGTTATAGAACAACAGGAGGCAGAAGATAGATTTATGAACATCCACTACGTCCTCACATAGAAAGATCTCCAAGATATATTAAATGAAAAATAAAGAAATTGCAAAACTATACATACGGTAAAATCCCATTTACATTAAATCTCATTATGTTAAATTATCTTTTATATTTAAAAATTGGATAGAGGTTGTAAATGCCTAGAGTAAGGTCTAGATGGACACAAGATGGGTGACCTCTGGGGAAGAGAGAGGTTTGAAGAGAGGCTACGACAGCAAATTGAAGTGCTTACTTTAAATATATCTGTTTTCTAATACATCAAGATAGTCATGTACTACTTGTGCAATTAAAAAATAAATATCACAAAGTTAGTTCAAAAAGAAGTTGAATTATAGGGGAGTGAGATTGTAGACTGCTGTAATAATCTTGCTTAAGAATGGGAAAGGGAGGCCAGCCCAAGCATTCTAGTGGTTAAGTTCAGCACACTCCACTTCGGTGGCCTGGGTTTGGTTCCTGGGTATAGACCTACATCACTTGCCTGTCAGTGGCCATGCTGTGGCAGTGGCTCACATACAAAAAAGAGGAAGATTGGCAACAGATAGCTCAGGGAGAATCTTCCTCGGCAAAAAAAAAAAAAAAAAATGAGAAAGGGAAACAATTAGAGTGATATCAGCATAAATGGAGAGGAGGTGGTAGATATAAGAGGGAGAATCTATAGGACTTGGTCCTTGAAAGGGTATAGAGTGTGAGAAAGGAAGATTTAATTGGGTAACTGGAATAGTGATGGCTTTAACAGAAATAGAAAATAAGAGAAGCTACCGATTTGTGAGGAAAAGATAATTTTTATTTTGGAGACACTGAATTTGAGATACTGATATCCAGGTAGACACACTGCAAGTATCCTAGAAAGACATAATATTTAAAGTACACAGATCAGAACTACCCTGGGGTTAAGTGACTAAATTCTTGAGATAACAATTACAAAGCAACTGTTGTGGACACTGATTGTATTTCTTTGTTATGATCACTGTCAAACGGTGTATTTGCAGTTATAGATACACACTTAATCCTGGGATAGCTATTTATATATACGTGGGTAAGAGGCTACAATATTATATTACAGAAAGAAATTTATTCACATTATTTTCAACAAATTCTTATATAATGAGACCTGTCTTCCATTTGGTACATTTCCCACTTAAAACTCTGTATCTAAATCAAACTCCCTAATATGAATGCAATTTGCAAGAATAAAGAAAACAGATTATAAGAAGATATAATTACTATAAATCAAAACTTTAAATGGTTTAAGTCCTATTCAAGACATTTTTTTTCCTACCACAGTTCCATTAAAATGTTATTGGCCTGGGTCCTAGCAGGATATTGAAGTCCATCAATAGGATTACTTGTGGCATTTTAAAACTATTCAGATGGCTAAGCTTTTGCAACTAGAGGGTGCTGAAGGACTACAGAGGACTAGATTATATCTCATTTTTTAAAAATTTAGTAATCAGTGAGAATCTTCCAAAAATTAAAGTCTTCAATAAAAAAACATCGAATTACAAATGGCAATCTGCATAAATAATATTTAAACATATTTTATTATTGAATTGGCCATACAAACTGTCAGCTGCAACAAAACTCTCCAAATAATATAAATATACTTATTTGGTCTTATGTTTATGTTACGTAAATTACTGATAGTTCTAATTTCAGCTATGGCAGAAATAAAAAGGTACATCAGCTGTGATATTGCTAGGAAATGAGAGTCTTATAGACCAGAAAGTGCATATTTCCAGGTTGGAACAAGATCAAAGTGAGTAAATCTAGACTTTTAGCAACAAAGAAAATATAAGTAGAAGTGAAGGCTAACATAAACAGAGATATTATTTCCTTAGTGTTTAAATGTTTTGTAACAAATCCAAAAAATATTCAAATAAATAAGAAAAAAAGAAATAAATGAATTCAGAAAAACACTTTAATTTTACTTAAAAATATGTAAGCATTTTAATAAAGAAGTTGAAATCTGGGCCGGCCCCGTGGCTTAGCGGTTGGGTGCGCGCGCTCACTGCTGGCGGCCCGGGTTTGGATCCCCGGCGCGCACCGATGCACAGCTTCTCCGGCCACACTGGGGCTGTGTCCCACATGCAGCGACTGGAAGGATGTGCAGCTATGACATACAACTATCTACTGGGGCTTTGGGGGGAAAAAAATAAGTAAATAAAATTATTAAAAAAAAAAGTTAAAATCCTTTAATAATTATGAATTTATTTTCCAACTCAAGTTACTTTTAGTAATAGGGTATTTTCCTCTGGGTTTCTTAACAACGATGTGGAATCACATAACCATTACTATATTCCAATTTAAAATATTTATGAGTCTTTTTAAGGCACAATTACTTTTTTATACTCTGTATCAACAAAACGGAATCCATGAAAATATATTTAACTTAAGGTGGATTACGTAGAATTTCTTTTATCAGAAATATTTAATCAACATATCTATCTTTTATATTTATTTTATCAGAAACCAGAATTCAGTACGAATTTATGTAAATCCAGATTTCCCTTTGTTTCACAAACACTTACTGTGTTTGATCATCTGACATTCTGACAACATGGGCACACTTTAAAATGAGCTGATTTTACAAATTAGTAATTGTTTGAACTTTATTTCTCCACAGAGCCCACATAATTATAACTGGTATATTTCTACTTACAAAGCTTAAACAATACGTAATATAATTTTGCTTAATCTGTGACAATATAATCTAAAATTATACAAGAATAAGATGGCTTTTTCTGAAAGTTACAAGGAAGGAGATTTCAAATACTACATCCATTAGAATCGTGACCATAACAGGATTTGGCGTGCACATCATTTTATTATCTGAAGTATCTACAATTTGCACTAACTGAAAAGAATTGTTTGGATTTATATTATGTAGTATGCTTATCCTTCACTTATTCCTAAAGCATATGTTTGCTATACATATATACATCATTATTAGAGCACAGACATTACAGGATCATGCTGCCATTCAAAATTAAGGTGCCACATTTTTATTACAATCAAATGGCATCCAAAATGCAATATATTGCTATGAAAATGCAAAAATTTTCACAGATTGGCATTTATCAATGAGGTCAGTCACAATGAAATGGGATTTTATTTCATACAAATGGAAAAGATGTATCATAAATATATAGACCAATATATAACATTGAAGAACAAGAAGCAGAAAGGAAACAAAGCTCTTGCATAAAGATCAATTCGTTTTGCTGCTGTTGGAATAACAGGCTTGGCGGGGGGTGGCTTCTTGTTGTTCTTTGCCTGAGATTTCCCAAGTGCATTGTTGACTTCGATAGGTTTTCCATAGCAGTCGTAGTTGGATAATTCAAAATCTCTTGGTAAGCTTCCAACAATGCTGAAGTCATTAGATCTCAGATCAGACTTAGAAGTACAAACCTTTTTGCACCTGGTCTCTCCAACCTGAGAAGAGAAATTAAAGACAGAATATTTTCAGAATTTTTCTGTTTATAAAATACATTTGTTCAAAAGGATATTTTAAAAATCTGATAGTTTGGGGCTGGCCCCATGGAATAGTGGTTAAGTCCAGCATGCTCCATTTTGGTAGCCTGGGTTCGAGGGTTCGGAACCTTCCCTATACCACTCATCAAGCCATGCTGTGGCAGCTACCCACATACAAAATAGAGGAAGACTGGCACAGATGTTAGCTCAGGGCTATTATTCCTCGAGCAAAAGAAGAGGAAGACTGGCAACAGATGTTAGCTCAGGGCCAATCTTCCTCACCAAAAAAAAAAAATAAATAAATAAATATATATATATATCTGATGGTTTAGTCAACTGATTAAACCATCAGATACTTGAACATTTAGGGCTCTAAAATGTTGCCTATATAACAAGGCTTATGCCACGGAATAAACTTTTGATAGGTTATTTTATGTTAAGAGATCAAAGTACAAATCAACATTCATCTTAGGTGCTCCCAGGCTTGTGAGAGTTCTCAGCTGAAAGACCAAGAAATAAAAATCCAATATTTAATCATGACACAGACCACATTACTATATATATGGATTACAGAAATCTGGTACTTCTAATCTTTGACTTCCCATGGATCTTATTTCCAAATAGGGTGGTTTATAAACGACTGAGGCATTGATCACTCCAACGAGACTGACTGTGTCTCTAAACCACACTCACAAATAAGAACTAAAAGATGGTCACAATTATCATGAACCAAAGAGTTACTAATGAAAGGCACTGCTAGCTTGTTGACTAAAGTTTAATTAGCCAACCACACTCAGAGAATCCAAAGAAACTGTGTATATGTCGGCCAGACTATATGCTACAGAGAATATTCAGAGTTGATAATCTCTGAATTATTAAATTTGAATTAATTATTAAATTATTAAATTTGAATCAATTCCCAAAAATATACAAAAATAATTATTTCACACTAAATTCTCTCTAGCAATCAGAAATGGTCTTAGAAAGAATAGAGTTATAGGCTAACCCCAATGGCTCAAGATAGCACTGATAATACAAAAGGCCACAGAAGGGTGAGCTCTTGACTCTCCTGCTTAATCTTCCACTGCTCTTACTCCTGAGTTCTGTGACTCACCTTTGGACTCTTCACTGTTGATATTTACTGTTTTTACGGAGAAAGGAAACCATGTCATTGCAGACTGTTAGTGTACTATAGTTACTCTAGTTTTTGCCTTACTAGTATAATACATGACTAGTTATGTAGATTCGATTTACATTTACTAGATTATGGCTGGCAGAAGTGAAACAAATTATTCCCCAGTAGTACTTCAGGTACCAGGACGCTATCTTTTATCTGAACAAACACTGAGAACTACTTTCTGGGCAAGAGCCAGACAGCAGTGTTCAGAGGTGGATAGTAAAGATAACCAAGATATGCTGAGGGAAAAAACAAGTTAAAATGTATTCACACATCCTCCTGTCATTATACATTTAGGTTATTTCCATTTTTTTTCAGTTATGAACAAGTACTGGTAACGTTATTTTTTAATCTGGTATACAAATGTTGGCTTTATTATTATACACTTTATACCACACAGATATTTGTACAATCCTATTGGGTAAGAAACTTTGAAAAACATGTCTATGTAAATATAATTGTACAAAATTACACAATCGATTGTACAAAAATACACACAGAAAATATTGAAAAGTAGGAATGCGGACTCAGGAGCTAGAAGTTTACTCTTCTGAATGTTTCATACTTAAAAAAATGTCAATCACCAATATATTAACCAATTTAGAGAATGTTATAAAATAGCCCAAACGGAAACATAGTTCCATCCTGATTTGACTGGATATTGTTTTAGCTTACAGAAGCTAACCTAAAGAAAGAGGATCCCCCCTCCTCCTTTTTTCAAATGTACAGTTACAATTTACCAACTGTCAGAGCTCGGCTGAGTTTGAAAGAGTGATTATGTCTTGAGGTAACTACTCTTGATGGAGTCACCATAGGTCCAGCGTCTAGTCCATATCAGTTTATACACTGTGTCTAAGAAAGCGTCTGGCAAAAAATAAGACTGGTCAATGGAATGAGAGAGAGAACAAAGGTAGCAACTAAAATCTAAATTATTTAAATGCAACTGCAACTTTGGGAAATCATTCATACATATATATATATATGAATCATTCATGAATGTATATATATATAATTTATTTCCAGACCTTCCATTTAAATTCCCCAATTTGAAATTTTAAAAAGCCCTTTGCAGCAAGCTGTCATCTAAGCTCCATTATCATACACACACACACACACACACACACACACACACACACATGCACTCACATACTTTTCCTGTAAGTGTACCAGACAGAAGACCACATTTAAAGCTCTAGTTTTCCAGTGCTGTTCAAGGAATGTACAAGTCTCAATACGTATCAGTGAATTTTTATAGAGTAAATCTCTACCTTGACTGGAGCAGAAGTTGAGAACAGACTCTATATATCAAATCTTTTCATTATCCTCAGACTCGCAGAGCAATCTTCAAAACCTGGGACTCAGTGGGTATCCCAGTGTTTCTTTCTCCCTTTAGAATTCTCTACTCCAAAAGTTTTAGATGCACTAACAGTCCTTAGAATCCACTTATCAAAACAAAGGAGTACCCTGCCTTCTGCCAATACACTTAGGAAGCATGATTCTTATCAGTTATTTTTACTTTTTCACAAAGAAGTCCACATATATTTACGATAGAAATGCATTTACTATAAAATCACATTTTATACGTGGCTTTAGGTATGGCTTTAGCATCTGTAAATAATAAACGAGTAGCCAAATTTATATGATATTATAACCTAAGTCACACCTAAATACTTCAAATTTTCTAATCTGTTTTATTTACATAAACATATTCTCAGATTCTGCCAGTAATTTAATAATTTTAGAATTTTACCTAAATAGTTTATTCAAAACTATGTAGACATAGAATGTTACATTTATTCAGAGATATTATCTAAATATAGTAAATATGACAGTAAAAGAAAAATAATTTCTTCAATGTTAAAGTAATAACATGGAAAAGCACTTCAAAAACCTTCAATTTGGTCATACTAAATTTTTAATCATTTAACTTATTAAAACTTCTTCCAGAAATGTATTTGAAGATTCTTATATCTGAAATAAGTAGAGTTGTGTGTGTGTGTGTACTGGTAAAACCTCTACTACAGAAGTAATTTTCAATAATGTGACACAACTGAATAAGGAATAAAATTATGTTCCCCCATGAGGAGTCCTCAGGTTCCTTAAATAGCTCATGATTCATTAACTAGTTGGCTGGTCTCATCTTCTCCCATTCATCGGAGATTTTACACAAACATAACTTTCTTTTTTAACTAACACTCTCCAACATAATTATCATATAAAATATGTACATAAAAATACAAAAGAGTTTACAATACAAATACTATTTTAAACAATGATAATATCACAGGAAGTGGGATTAAATGAACTGCTTATAAATAAAACAGTAACCCTACTTAACACATTTTTAAAAGTGATCTTAGTTATATTAATCTTCAATTTATAATTTCTCAGTTTTTCCTCATATGAATATGTGTCTCATTTATTTTCATCATATAAACTTGTCAATTCTGAAAATTACCGGTAGCAAAAATGAGGTAGTATGATAATGAAACTCTCAAGAATAAAATATGATGCAGGTAAAAACTTTCTACTGCTTCAAATCGCAGCAGTCTCTAAGATTTTCTTTGAGGTCTTTTTTAGTTTGAGTTAGCACACATTTAAAAGAAAATCACCTTATGCAATTTTTCTCTACCAGAAGACTTAGGCGCGATTCCATGGTGATGATAGTGTTTTCTACAGATGATAAAGATATGTTGAGATGGGAATAATCTCTATATATTTTACCAAATTTAAATCAATCCTGATTTTAAAAAACATATCATTACCATAACGAAACAACTATCTCATTAATGTGTGAACAGCAGTTTTTATTTTTTAATTTATTCAAATTCATAGGCATAGATACTATCTTGTCTTTTATTCACAACTCCTTTGTTGTGAATAGCACATAGCACACACTAGGTGTTGGAAATAGGGTCGTATTAACAACAGTGGGTCCTCAACTGTTTTTATTGAATAACAAAAGAAATATATGAGTGAACAAACAAATCAGTAACCAAAATATTAGAACAATTGAGGAAGTACCAATGTTAGGGGGAAAAAAACCTAGACGATCATATATGTATGATGCCAGATTTATGTACGCAGGCAAAATTATGAAATCCTCATACTGAAAGCCAGATAAATTATCAATGATCTTTCTTACATTTTTAAAAATCATTCCTTTTCTTAGCAAGCAGAACAGTATTTTAAAAATCAGCATCAAAATTTTTTTACAATCTGAATTTCATTATGCTTTCATTAATTACTATTGTTATTCTGTCTGAAAAAAATGACATATCATCTGATTGAAATTACTTAGCAAAATATACTGGAACAAATGCTTTTTTTTTTTTTTTGTGAGGAAGATTGGCTCTGAGCTAACATCCATGCCTATCTTCCTCTTTTTTGCTGAGGAAGACTGGCCCTGGGCTAACATCCGTGCACATCTTCCTCTCCTTTATATGGGACGCCGCCACAGCATGGCCTGACAAGTGGTGCATCAGTGCGTGCCTGGGATCCGAACCCGGGCCACCAGCAGCGGTGGAGTGCCACACTTAACCGCTACGCCACGGGGCCGGCCCTGGAACAAATGCATTTTTAAATCAAAACTAGAATTATATTTTTCATAGCAAAACTACTAAATTAAAAAGGCAACAATTTTTAAGCTTCCTTTTTTATATTTTCTTTCATGTGTACACGTGTAACAATCTTATGAACTCATCAATCTTACAAATTTGCTGTAAGTTGGATGTCTAATTTAAGCTAAGTTATTTTTGGACTCATATTCTCATTTTGAAGCCTG